AATTATTAGATATATCTAAAATGAGCACAGGAATTTCATTTAGCACTTGGAATATTAATGGTATATTCAATAGCGTCCTTGGAGATAAAACCAAAAACTTATTGATTCTATTTCTAAGATCGATTTAATATTTATAACTGAAACATGGACAAACACATGTTTAAACATTCCAGGATTTGAGGCTATTGTTTCTGAAACAGCTAAACCAGTTACTAACTGGGCATGCCGAAAATCAGGCGGCAATAGCTTGTTATTCAAAAGCAAATTTAAGCAATATGTAAGCATTATCAAGAATACAAAAAAATTTTTGTGGAGCAAAATCTCCAAAGAAATCTTAAACTCTGATCGGGATCTATACATGTGTGGTACATACATCCCACCTGAAAAATCGAAGTACTTTGAAAACAAAATTTTTGAAGAACTTGAAAATGATCTTGTCCTTTTCTCATCCAAGGCAAATATACTTCTTCTTAGTGATCTAAATGCTAGAACAAGCAAACTCCAAGATTATATTTCAAGTGATGGAAGTAATCACTTTCAAGACACTAGTGGTAACTCTTTTCGACCACCACAAAGAAAAAACATTGACTCAACAACCAATAATCATGGTAAAAAAATTATTGAAATTTGCAAAAGTACTGACATGAGAATTCTTAATGGTCGAACCAATGGTGACTCCTTGGGAAGACCAAGTTTTCATAGTAAAAATGGAACCAGCTCAGTTGATCATATCATTTGTAACCAAAACTTAATGCCAAAAGTTAAACATCTAGTTGTTAAATCCCCTAACTATCTATCTGACCATAGTCAAGTTATAACCTGGATTAACTTACACCAAACCACTAACACTATTAATAATACTCCCTTACAACCCCCAATATCAAAATTACCAAAACAATATATATGGAACAATAAATCAAATGAGAATTTTAAAAAAGCGTTAAAATCAGACGAACTACAAGAGAAACTAAGCACATTCCTTGAAAATGATTTCTCTTCTGACAGAGAGGGCATAAACAAATGTGTCAATGAATTTCAAAACATGATTAACCTTGCATCCAAAAATCTCTTAAAATTAAAAAGAAGAAATATAGACGGAAAACTAATAATGTTGCAAACAAAAAATGGTTTGATAAAGATTGTAGATTTAAAAGACACCAGCCTAGAAAACTTGCAAATCAGAAACATGGAGATCCAAACAATATTGAAATCAGAAGTGCTTTGAAAGACTATATAGAAAGACCATACTGCTTTGAAAGACTATAAAAGCACTTTAGAAATGAAAAAGAAAATTTCCATTTCGATAAAATCCAAGAAATTGAAAATGCTAGCAGATATCCACTGCTATTTTGGAAAACACTACGAAATACTAGTGACGATTTTGATTTTAATGAAACCAAGAAAAGCCCACTACCAAGTGACTGGCTGAATCATTTTGATCTGAATAAATGGGATAATTCAGAAACTGAAAAAATTCATTTAAATTCTGCAAGCTATATCTGGGTGTTAACAGAAGAGCCAGTAACGTGGCTTGCAGAAGTGAACTTGGGAAATGCCCACTGCTGATTACAATAAAAAAGAATATACTAAACTATTTTAAACATATTCTTAAACTAGACGACAACTCAATCGTTAAACAATCCTTCCTAATGTCTAAACAACTATTTGAAAAAGGCAAAGAATCTTTCTATACCAACGCAATAAACATGCCAAAATCATTCTATGATAATATAACAAACTTGTAAAGTGATATAATCAACTACGATACAAAAACTATTTTAAATAAGATGAAAGATAAATATTTTGAATTTTGGCGCATAAAATGACTAGCTCCTCCAAACTCTTTTTGATAAGGCCCGAAGATCGCTAGATAAGTTAGTAAGTTACCAGTATGGACCGCAGACGGGAAAGTTCTGGTTAGGTCAGCGAATGCTAAAATTGTACGACTGAGAAAAGTAGAGGACATTGAGAACGTGTTAATTGTTAGTTAAAATTTTTTTTTACCTACATCCTACATGTTATACATTTGTGCTTATAGCATGCTTTATTTATCTTCTATCTCAAACATGCTTTCATTATATTGTAATATTCAGATATTTGTGTGTTCATTTGTGCAGCCCGAGGTAAGTTTATTGTGTATTAAATTTTGCAATGGGGTTTAGTTTAGAGATTTATAGAGCAGCTATCGGGGTGTTAAATCGACGCGTATTTACAATTCATAAGAAATTAACAAATTTGTCTTCGCTTTTAATTTGTAAATCCTTAGTTAATGATGTTATTTTATATTTAATATTGTGTATACTATTGATGGTAGCTGGAGATATTGAGACCAATCCTGGCCCTTTTCGAAATTTAACTTTGAGTATGGGTCACATTAATGCTCGAAGTTTGAATATTGAAGATAAATTTGATGAAATATGTTGTCTTGTCCATAATGTAATTTTGGACTTTTGGCCGTTTCAAAAACCTGGCTAAATGACAGCATTTCTAGTGATTCCTTAAATATTCAAGGTTTTGCACCGATAATCCGTTTAGATAGACAGAATGGTCGGAGGGCCGGTGGAGTTGCATTGTATATTTCATCTAGCATTGCATATAGGCGACGGTTGGATCTCGAAAATTGTGAATTTGAATTGTTGTTTGTTGAATTTAAAATTTGCAATACAAATTTTGTTTGTGCAGTTTGTTATCGGCCACCAAATTATAGTGCTATTATGAACTCTGCTTTTTTAACTCATTTGCAAAATTGTTTGGACCGAATACGTTTAATGCCTAATACCTTTGTGTACTCCTTGGGGATTTTAATGCTCATTTCGATGACGGTTCTGTATCACAAAGCGCCGTCTTTGGTAAACAATTATATAGTTGGATGGAATGTAATAATTTATATCAGGTCATAAAGGATCCGACGCGAGTGACATCACATAGTGCAACCCTGTTGGATCTTATAATAACAAATTATCCAGGTTACTTTGTGTTTTCTGATGTATTAAGCCCTCCTAGCGGCTGTGATCACTCTTTTGTTTATGCTCGTATAAATGTTTTCCTCGATAAACAAAAATGTTACAAACGTCAGATTTGGGACTTTAAAACAATTGATTACGCGGTATTA